GATTTGCAAAGCGTCGAGTTTTCACTCTTGATATTACCTTGACCGTTTATATCAGACTTACGTGTCCCCGATTTTCAAGAACTCCGCGTATAATAAACGCATTTGACCGTGAAAAGAGAGAGAAATTATCCAGAGAGAGGCACGAGAACGCGAATCAAGACGAATATATCGAAAGTTCGACCTTTCCTCGAGTACAGTAACTCTCCCACCTTCGTATTCCGCCTGTATAAAAATCCTTTCACGACCGAGAACCGGTTGGCCTTCTCGTGTAAATATATGCCTATCAATTAATTAATAGTCTCCCTAAGGCGAAACTTTTTCCTCTCTTTGCGATAAATAAACGCAACCGGATCTATCGACTCATTGATCTTATATAATATTTTATAAAGATCGAAGAAAGGATAAACGCGAATGATGCGATACTGTAGATTCTTTAATAAATTTCTAAATTGAAATCATTAAATATGTTATACTAATTATCTTCATATTGTGACAATGATTCGAATAATATTAGATATTTAGTCAAACTTCTATTATATTTTAGTTATTTTTTGCAAGCCTTCTTATAATTTTTTCTGAGATTTATTCCAGTTACAATTCAAAAATCTTTTTTATCTATACTATATTAACGCAATAAAATTATTTTAATTTTATGTTTAAATAATACAATGAAATATATTGCAATTTTAACTCGAGTATCTTAAGTTGCCAAATAAAAAAAGAGAGAGCAATAAATCATTGATTACGAATATTAAATTATTACATTAATTTATGTGTCAATGTTAAAAAAATTGTATGTTAGCATGATAGCTCTAAAAATCTAATTGGTTCATATTTATAAGATTATAAATTGCTATACTTTGACGCATATATATATATATATCAAGTAATATAATTATATCCGAAATTCAGACGTGAAAAGAGAAAGGATTAGTACAAAGCAATGATTCGATCGATTTCACCGCGCTTAATTATTTCGAGCCACGTGCAATTGCGTACGTGACCCATTTTCATATCGCCTGCAGACATAGGAAATGTTAAGAATATTTTATTGTTAATAAATATCATGCATGAACTGTACAAAGTTTATCGCATAAAAGAAAAATATATGGATTTGTCTAAACTTTGATCTGAAAGGCAGAGAAATAAACACTGATGAAAAAGATAACATTGCAAATCGGCAAACTTTAAACTCAAGCTGCGTTTACAAAGACATTTTAATTAATTTTGTCGTGAAATAAAAAATATAAAAAGAATCCTTTTTCGTGGATGATATAAATTAAATAGATACAGATTAAAATCACAGGACATAATCTATCGCGAAAGAAAAAGGTATCGAATAATTTTTCAAAATTGCAGAACGTATTGCAACGTGATAACTGCATTAACATAATAAATGCATTGATTAATTTCAATTTTCCAGATATACATATATTTGAGTGCTTGCTTTTAATACGAAAATTATATGCAGACATCTCTTTTTCTTTTATTCGTTTTCCATTAAGATATTACATTAAAATATTACATTCTATTAATTATAATATAAAATGATATGATAAAATAAACATTGACAAAGATATCTAAAATATATATAACATAATGCACGAGTGTTTATATATTTCTAACTGTTAAAAATATTGTTACACGTATATATCGCATTATTTCTTGTATTATATTATAATTTCTATGCGCGGAGACATTTTACAATATTATGATAACAAAGAAAAAAGAAGCTTTGTCGCGCGTTGCAATACGCGCTGTTAAATGCATATGTTATAATTTCATGTGTATATGTACCGACGTTGGGGTCGCTACAAAAACTGCTGTTACATTTGCAGTCTTCTTTCAGAAATATTATTTATATATACTCGTGTAAAATACTCGCTATAATTTTTCGCTTTTTAACGAATACGGAAAAGTAACTTCTCATAATATATATAACGACGAATTTTCAAATACATTCGTTTTATAAATATTTTGCGTCCACACCTGCATATCGAAGATCAGGAAATGCGAATATATAATTATTGGTTTAAACAAACGGAATCTCGTTGCAAATTATGACGCTTACGCTCGCCAAGAGCAAACGCTCCCTTTAATTCGATATATAACGCCGGTTCAATGAGTTTAACTTAATTGACGACTATTTCTCGATACCGATATCAAAACCATTAATCTGATATTCAGTTTGCATATTTAATGCACTTTTGCAATTCTCTCTCTCTCTCTCCCTCTCCCCACTCTCGTTGCTTTATTACATTCATAATTCGATACGATAGATTGAAATTGGCTCGACAAAGCTCAACGAAATTTTATAAATTGCTACGGTCCATTAGGATTCCCACGACGGTTGTAGGTATATAGTAGCGATAGTTTCGTACTACAATCAAAATAACATATCCCTCTTCAACCGCGCTCTTAAACCGTGCATTAAAACAGGATGTCTACTTTCTGAAATAACCGGAAAAATTCAGACCGATCAAGGATTTTTTTACCTTGGAAAATCTCGGATTTTTCATGGAATTCTATTGAAAGCTTATTCAGGAATTTTTTTCCAAAATTATATGTTTCATCATTTTTCTCATGCCCGACATATTTTTGTAATATTTAAATTTTTATTAAAATCTTATTTGATTTTTGGTCAACAATCTCTTTAATATTAAAAGCTCATGTAATTTTATCTTTACTTTTCATTTTATTTTAAATTTAACTTTTATTTAATATTTGTGTATCTATAAATTTTCTTATTTTATCTGGAATTTTAAAAGACGAAAACCCATGAAAGATAAGGATAATTTTGGACAAGATTTACGTATAGACACCCTGTAAAATGCGCCTGCGGCGCAGGTTTATCTGCCGCGATACGCGACTTTTTATGTATTTATGTCTCAACGATTTGAAACTCGCGTGCGCGAATTCGCGCAAACATTTCGCGAGACGTGATCTCGGGCGAAATTTTGTTGCCACTCCCCTTCGCTTAACCGTTTATCGACGAGCGAGCGAGCGCGCGCTCTATATCTCGTATATAACTCGCATGTTACGAAGTTAAATTTACTCGTAGCGAATGTGAAGAGAGAGACGGAGAACGGTTATGCTAATATCGTTGAGTTTCAGTAGTATCCGACTATTTCTCCGACTATATGTACTTACATGCTCGCAAATGCTCTTACTCTTGTCGCGGAATGCGAGCGCGCATCGAAAATATAATCCAGGTCGAAATTCCGCCTAATTGCCGCGAAGATTTAATTTAAGAACCTTATCTCCGTTCTCGGGATTTATATCGTTGCTATAGATCACTCGATAATGAAGCGCGAGATGACGAGATGTATTTGCACGGGAAGAAAGGAAAAAGAAATAAATCTCCATTTAGCAAACAGATACACATTTCCGCGATATATATGACTAGCACGCCGTTCTAGGAAACAATTTTACATCGCTTCAACAACAATTGAATTTGAATAAATACCTCATTTGCGCGTGAATCTTTCTTATTAACTCGGTAATGAAGCTTGAAATGAAAAATGTCTATATGTGAGAAAGGAAATTACTATTTGACGTACAATTGCAGAATTTATGCATAAAGTACTTATAAATGCGCTTTAGGAATTATTCTAGAAGGAAGAGATTTTTAAGATTAAAAATTCTCGTTTTACTCTAATAAAACATTTAACTCGAAAATCTTAAATTCTTAAATTTTCGTTATATAAGCTTGATAATGAAGCTTGGGATAATAAAAAAAAGGTCTTCACGCGAAAGAAGAAAATTTCCATTTAAGAGATAAGTGCAAATTTTGCTCGAAAAGTGGCGCAAATGCGCTTCAAAAATATTTCAAGAAGAGCTTTCGTCATAATCGCTTTAATGGGAATTTTTGTTTAAGAGTTTTATCTACTGAGAGCTAAGCTTTCCATTGTCAAATAACTCAGTAACGAAGTTTGAGATAATTAAAAACATCATTGTGTTATAAAGAAGGAATTTCTATTTAAGAGATGTCTTTAAACGCAGAGATATTGTGTAGACATGCATTTTACGCTCGTGCTAGAGATATTTTCTCTCGTTATCATTACAATTTGTAATCACGTTACGAAATGGCCTTTAAACCAAAACAGCGATGTTATGTTATGAAAACATCCTATATGTACGTGTAGTGCAAACTATGTATAATCATTTCGCTATTGCGTACGATTAATTTTGGTAAACATGATATATACATTTAGTACAATAACATATAGGTAACGTAATATTCATGTTGCACACAAATCTTTACCGATTAAAATATTTTCTGATTTTAATCATTGTGCAAGATATTTATTCAAAATTTTGTTAATAATTAAATTTTTTTTTTTAAATCTTCAAGGATTTTAAAAATAAGGAAATTCAGTATCGGAACAATTGTCATAAAAAGTCTTAAAGAAATATAAATATTATATTGTACATCATTAAAAATCGCAAAGTTTTAAGATGATAGATTCTACATCGCTGATTAAATGCTAGAAGCAATGTAAAAAAATTGTTTTATGCTACGATAAAAAATGTCATCGCACCTGTCAAACATAGTAATCGGCTCAACATCTCTCACACCTGTCTTTCTTAGTTAGTTTTTTCTATTCTCTAATAGAATATTCAATAAAAGACATTACCGCGTCGTTGCATGTCACGTTGAAAACCGCCTTGTGCATCTTGATCACAAACTCCGAAAACCTCTTGAACGCACAAAACGATCTTTAAAGATGACGAGAAGATCGGCTCGACTTCCTCGATCAGATCTGCATGCGAGGAAAAAGACTCGACAAGAGAAATCCCGACACCTACTTCTCGCTAAATCCGCGAAGGACCGAAAAATCAGCTACAGCTGACCAATTGGAACGACAGATATATATATTATCTCTCGCCGATCGACACACAAATTTCCCCACTGTCGTAATCGAAAAGCTAGGCAGGGTGATGTGTAGGAGAGATCGGATTCAACGAAACGACGGGAAAATTTCTAGCACCCGGCTGACCATTATCCGCTGATCGTCTCTCCTTCAGAAACAAGGAATCAGCTGACCGATCGCTGTCAGGGCTGATCAGCGCGATGATCCCGATCACTTGAGCACTTCCTCTCTCTCTCTTCCCTGTCACACCGAGAAACCCGAGCGGAAAACCCGGCGAACGAATCGAAGGCTAGAGCCGGGAGCCAGAGACCAGCAACCTTCGACGGTCGACGGCGAACTGGTCTTGAAGCGGCCAGGCACAGTTCAGCTTGGAAACGAGTTTCTACGTTATCGACGCAGGCGTCCTTGACGCAGACGCGAGCGGGATTCTGGTGTGCACCAGATAGATCCCCCCCGATGAGGAGCAAGAGATGAGAGAGGCATACAGGCCAGCGTAGCACAAACTCATCGGTTGTGTAGATACCTGTTGAATGCACTTGGCCGGGAAGGGTGGAGGATGGAGCCAGGAGCGAAGGAGAAAACGGAGTGCCACTACCGCGACAAGCTGAAGGAGAACCTGGCACCGTCGTCGATCCTCGAAACAAGCGCTCACGCTCGATCGGAGAGAGATTCATCTCGACGTACCTGCTGTGCCTTTCCCGATTGACGCGATTAATGAATAGGGTCGATAGGGAACTCAGGGTGTCTAGCGCTCAGGGAAATCTGGGCAACTCCTTGTCAGGGAAGAGTCCGGAAATTTTATTATTCATCTGCATTTTTTCACATTATTCTACATTTAATAATAATTTGACACTTTTTATTACATAAATGTAAAATTTTCTTTACTCCCAGCACGCTAATTTTCTGTGTTGTTGAAAATCGATTTTCATCGTCGTGTAAAAATTTGATATAATATAAATAAAAAAGGTGATTATTTAAATTATAGTTTATATATTATAGTGACATGTTTGTTTCGATTATCGTACATATAATGCAGATTGTATAATTGATTGAAATTTTTGTTTTAACTTCGGAGCCATTTCATTGTTGACCAAAATATTTCAAGGATTTCATGATTTAATATTTAATTGCTTTATCATATAGATGTATGCAAATTATATATTTGGAAAAAATAATATTAAAAAGTCAGAAAAAAATTAATTCTGGTCTTGGAAAATCTGAAAAAGTCAGGGAATTTTTGTCATTGAGTCTGCTGGACACCCGGAGGGTTATTCAAAACGATTCGTCCAATTTCGCAAATGGAAGGATATCCGATATGGTCGTCCTGTTTCACAAGATTTGCAATTTCGACAGCGAGACAATCGCATTTCAATAGGTATCGCATATCTCGAGTGATGCTAAGTTTCGTCAAAAGGAAGAAGAGCTGACACTTCGATACATTGAATCCCTTTTGGTGGTTTTGCTGGAAAGTGTCTTCGCATCGCGATAATATATCAAACTGTTTCCATTGCTAAAATTGATACTCATCTTAACAATCCAAGAATAGAGAGACAACGAAAGATCAGAGAGATTTCTAAAACTGCAAAAGTACCGTCAAAAATTATTCTAATTAACTTAATTAATTAGGTGGAATCTTTGCTGCAAAATGAGTGGATCGATCTCTTCACAAAAGCTTTTTAACAACATATATTTATAATATAATTATATACATATATATACATATAATATGTATATATTATGTATATATTACAATCTATACAATAATATATATATTATATTTATATATAATTAAATTTCCCTCTCGTAAGATCATCTAATCGCGTGTATCAATGATTATAGATAAGATAAAGATTTATTAAAAAACTTTTTTTAGAATTAATATGAATTAAAATATTTTTTATAAAATATAAATAAAACACAAATATAAATTCCTACGAGCCTGTAAGATGATATGAAAATAAATTTCGCATAATATGAGAGAAATAAATAAATTCTCTCGAGCTCTCTATGAAATTCAAGATGTACTGCGTAGCTAAAATTTTGGGGCGCACTTCGTTCAATGCACGCCAAGAGAAAATTACTGCATCTCTCTCGTCTCGCGGAATTGTCGGGACGCCGGCAAAATTATACGGTAAAGATCGACGGAAGTGCAAAGTAAGGACACGGTAGGAAGTTTCGTGGAAATTTTCAAAATTGCTTCTTGCTTCGGCCACTTTCCCGGTGTGCGCGCGACGTCTGCAATAATTGTAATAACGACGCGAAGGGAAGGCGAGGAAAAAGGGAGGGGCATTAATTTGATAAAAGCCAGACATGTTAAATGGCGATTTGCACAGCTGAGTACACTCATTATCTCACTCGCCGGTTTGCGTATTTAACCGATAATCCAAATCACAGTAGGAAACGTCAGAGCGCATAGTACTCCTTCAAATTTATACATACTCCAAATTGAATTATGGTTTCTTAGATATTACCCTAGGGATAATTAAAAACAATTTTTACATGATTTTAAAAGACGCCTCTGTATACTTTTACATTTAGATATTTAAGAACACATTTATTTTATAATTTTGTCTGCCGACTTAATTGAATTAATTTAAAGCAATAATTTAGAATATGTCACGTTTAATACTAATTACCTAATAATTATGGAACATAATTAATATTATTAATTCATAATAAATAATTATTATTGATTATAAAAAATAATCCTCTATTCTAAAATAGTCATATGTACAAAGACTATGCCACGTTTTTCTCCATATTTAATTAGTTATTTAAATTAAAGTAATAAACAAAAATAGTTAGTACTTTAATCATAATAATAAATGTCTCTTATGTCAACTGCTTTACTGAAGCATAAATAATTTTACAAATTCGGAAATAACTTGCATATATACATATATGTTCTGAACATAAAAAACAATTTTTAGAATATCCTTATATAAAAATATTGCACAGAGAAAAAAAATAGAATATAATCTAGATTAAGTTTAAAAAAGAATCTAATGATATTGCCTGTCTTATAGTTAAATTTATATTAAAAGAAGAATTTTATCGTATAGTAAATCTCATACTAGCAATGATATTCAAAAATTTTTAATTTGAAGTAAAAATCTTATTTCACAGATAGCATCGAGATATTTCTACGGTTCCGTAGCAAATTGAGAGTTCAGAGTAAAATGTTACAGAACTTAGTATGTTCCATGGTGTGTATAGAATAAATATAATTTTTTTTTTGGTCTCACACGTCTCATGAAAATGACTCCCAGTCGGTTGGGTACCAAACTATTTTGGTTTGCAAGAGCACGTGGTTGCCGAGTAGAAATAAACAGCTTACGTGCATTCGATATAATCTTGTGATACGCGCGAATGTTAAAAAAAAACGTCGAAATGAAAAAATAAATTGAACACGACTACGATGAGATAAAATTCTGTAAATAATACGTGTCCATACACGTGCATATATACAATGAATTTCTCCCTGAAGAGATGTTACAGTTATGCATCTAGTTTAATGAGTTTCAAGCTTCTATTTCCTGTGTGAAAGTTACAATATATAAGGTTCACATTTATACATATAGTAATATTTCTGAAGAAACACAACACAGAGCTACATTTTACATATGAATTTTTTGGTCAGTTTGGAATCGTCTTTTATTAACAAAAATATCGAAGGAACAATTATATATTTTTTTAATTGGAAACTATTCAATATGATGAATTTTCGATAATTAAATTTCAGAAATATAAAAAAATAAAAAAATCTTCATTTACGTTTTCTTTAATTTAATTTTCTGCTTTTATTTTAATATACACAGAGAGAGAAAATCGAATTACATTCAGGAATATATATTTATAAAGATTATAAATTTAACTGTTAGGTCACGTGTTTTTCCAATATTTTTTATTATCGAACGGAGGGCTATTCTAGCAATATTTTCTTATATTTTTAATCAGGCTCTTTCATTTTTAGAGAATTTAGATCGCTAATTGCGATAATTAGTTTTATCATTATTTTGGGGTCCCCATTTAGATATCTCCACTTATAAATAATTGAAAAACACAAAAAATAATATTTCTCAATACTTTCTGTAAATAAAAATTATATATATAAATCTATATGATTAACAGCTAAATAAAAGATTATTTGCTAGAAATATATATTTAATGTGAGATAAGGTTTTTATTAAATAGAATATATTATATGAAGATAACTATTTCGTATTTGACAACGCACAATGGTATTATGATAGGTTTAGTGATAGATGTTAATACTATAAAAAAAGCAAGTCTAGTTTATTTATATATATTGATAGACTTCTTACGCAAATATTGCACAGAACCGCTTTCGAGCGCTTTAAAAATATTTCATTAAAAATTTCGCTTTGTACACACTTTATCGATAGCTATTACCACAAATAAAAATTTTAATATAATGATTTTTCTCTTCACAATTCGTAGGAAATACATTTTTTATAATAGATTTTATGGAACAAAAATTCAATTCTTGTTCATGATGACGTCAAGATACTAATACTTTAAGATCTGTAAGTCGTCGAAAATGATGTGCTTTTTGCGAATTAAATTTTAAAGCCGTAAATAATAACATGAAAGAAATAAGACGTACAAAAATAATGAAATAGCTGTAATTAAAGAGTGAAAATGTAGACGTAGTAACTAAATTTCCAGCGTGACCCAGCAACAGCTAAAATTTAATTACTAGAGAGTAAATATTTTTTCCTCGCTCCTTCCGTTTTCGAGATGCAGAATCATGTATCGAGCGTACGTACGGAAGAGAAAAAGGAAATATAATAGCGACGCGAGTCATAGGCGCGTTCTGACGCACCGGAAGAGTCAATAAACGCCGTGCAAGAGAGCAAAAGTGCCGGGAGGCGTCGGGCGAGGATACGTCAAAAGATTTTCGCGCGCAAGTCGGGCGGTAAATGAGCTAAACGGCCCCGGGCCAAAGACCTGGCGTCAAAGGGGAATTCAACGGCGCGCTAGGTGAAATTCTTGATTCTGCCCTCAGGACAGTGAATTACCACCTCCTAGCACGCCATCTAGATTGCTATTCGCGCGACCCCTTGCTACGTTTGAGGAAGGACGTTACGTCGCGCGAAAGGGAAATACACCCTTCCCGGAGATACCTCGTTCGCGCTTATTAATGTCTTCGTCTGTTGGTTTTTTTTTTCTACGAATGAGAAAAACACCGCGGATATATGTATATATACAGAATGTTTCATTATACGGAATGATCTACAACGAGTATAAAACACTTGGACAGCTTTTTAGGGGTGTAATTTTATAAGCAAAAAATGTTATATGATA